TTGATTTGTTGTTAACATAAGTTATAATCATGAATGCCTAATGAGATTTACAAGTATTAACATTAATCGAATAAGATAACTATTGTAATCATGTTAACAATTCATAATCTGATTGTAATCTCCTTTGTGTGTGGTTTCTAATTGAGTAATAAGAGTTTATACTATACTTGTTTGACATACCATTAGTGGATCCTCTAACCTTGATATTTATTGTTATCGTTATTTAATCCTTAAGTTAATCTTCCATCTCAAAGTTCTCATCAACTTCTTCTTCTTCTTCTTCTTCTTCTGTTATTATTATTGTTATTATTATTATTATTATTATTACTATTATTATTAGTATTACTACTACTACTACTATTGTTATTGTTACTATTGTTATTGTTATTGTTGTTGTTGTATTATTGTTATCTATAATTTGTACAATTAACCTCCCTGTGATTTGACCCTGGTCTTGCTAGATTATTTATTACTTCAAAACTTCTGCACTTGGGAGAAGACATCAATTTTTTAGTCGTGTCACTATGCATACAATTTGGAACTTCCAATAAGTATAACATTATTGTTGCATTTGATTTGATTTTTTTATCTTTCTCTATTTAATATAGGTGACAATTTGAGGTTGAAGTCTTTTAAGAAAAAAAGGGATGATGAGAATCAACAAGCAACACCACAAGATCTATTTTATATGCCAATTGGACCAATTCCAAAGGCAAGAGCCAAGATATCAAAGAGGCATTTCATGGGTTGATTCAAGATATTTAGGTTGAGAAAGCTTTGAGAATCCCTTTTAAAGTGGCTTAAAAAATGAAGTTGAGTTCAAAGAAGAATCAAGTTCTGATCAAATATGATCCAAGTAAAAGATGAGATTGCTTAATATGTACTAGAGCTTGTCTACACAACTTTATATTAATAATTATAATTATAACTTTCAGTTTGACTCTTTGATCGAATTGAAATTTTTCTAAATAACTTTAAATACTATCATGTTTCCTATAGAGTTAAAATTTTATAGCAATCAGACATTAGGAATGCCTTTTGATAAGGCCTAAAATTTACCATGTAGATTGGAATTTTATTTATACAAAACTTGGGCTTTGCATTTTATTTTACCTATACATTTAAGTTATTTATTTGGGTTTAATTTTCAACCTATAGTTAATTAGAGTTTTTTTTTTAAAGTCAAACATATAAATGCCTTTTATTTCTGGAATGTGAAAAACATATTGGTTTTTTTGAATAAAATTGTTGTGGGCACTCTTGCTTTTGGTCAATCATTGAATTTTTTAGAACTTATCAATGAAATCATATTTATGGCATTCTAACCATATACAATTGGTTCTTGATTCAAATAATCAATGAGTCATGGTTTTCTTATATGATTTTAGTTTTTTTGGATAAGAATGTCAATTTTTTATTAGGATTTTAGGATTTATCATTTGGGTTTGTTTCAGTATGAAAAACATGTTTTAAAATTTTTATGAATGTGTTGTTGATTTAAGTATCAATCATGTTAAGACCTTTCCTACTGACATTATAGGCCATGACATGTCTAATGTAGACAAAAAAAGATGGAATCCTTTCAAAAATAGATGGATATACATGAAAACTTATTGCAGAATGGAAGGACATCCATTTTATGTAAGTCATGTTTTTCCTTACTAACAAAGTTCTTTATTTTTATTATATTATTTTAATTTTACATTAAATAAAAAATGACTTTCATGAATTGATTTTCAATTTTATCAATATTAAAACTGATCGTTTGATCATAAATATGATGAAATCATCGTTTGAAAAACCATGTTTCAATGGAGTTAGCTTTAAGATCATTCTGAATGGATAAATGTGGTTGATGCATGATAGGCAAAGTTAATTTTACATAAATAATTTATACTTTTTTTATATAGTTTTTTTTTATAATTTTAAAAACTTATCAATGTATAAATTGACTTTTAAGAAAAAAAATTTCCTAGACATGAAAAAGGAACAGGTGGTTATAGGGAAACTAAAGTGCAACTAGGTGAGTCTAAAACAAAAGAATGTGATATTATTGTAAAAATATAATCTTTTATTTCTGAAACCATATTTTTATTTATCAAATTTCTTGTACTAGATTGCATGATTCCTGTGATGCCTCCAAATATACAATGAACATAATCAATTGTGATGTCATAGTACTGTGAAAAAATTATAGAATGAGACACGTCATATATGATAATTGTGATAAGTTTCAAGAATTTGTAGCATCAAATAGATTTAAAAAGCTTTTATGATCTAGATCTCAAAATAAAAATAGAGAAACTCATATTTAAAAAAAAGTAAGGTTTTGAGTTAGGTATGAATATTGATTTGTTAGACCAGTAGCTAACCCTACCATAAATCCTATTCAAAATAAATAACTTTAATATTCATAAATAACTTCAAAAACCTCAAAGTTTAAAAATTACATATATACCTAGTTAAATGTACTAAATAGTTTTAAATTATACATTTAGGATTAGATTTTGATTTGAGTCATGAATATTTAATGAGTATCCAACACTTGATCAAGTATGGTTTGAATATAAAAAATTTATATTTATTCAAGTTTAGATTATATTTGTATAGTTATTTTTGAAACCATTTAGGTATGAAAATAAATTACCCAATCCATGAGCATCGGTCCCTAATAAAATCCCTCCCTAGATTACTATTGTCCCGTAACTACTCTCCATCAAAAGTATTAAAAGATCCCAATCGGTTACGTTTCAGGTTGACCAATCATATTATAATCTTCAAATTTCATAAGGAGCCAAAGCAGCAACCGAAGTCACGAAGAAAAAAATTATAAACACCAAGTCCATACAAAATTATTAGAAAATATTTTCATCCTATGAAGATATTAAATGAATAGTACATTAAAGTTTCTATTACAAAAAATAAATGATATTAATAAAATGAAAGATAAAACCTTGATCTGAACATTAAAAAAATGAGGTCACTATCTGAAGCAAGCATAAGAGTTGGCTCTTTATCGCCCACAAATTAAATTTTTATAATCAACATATTGGATATGAAATATTACACATCAAACTTTTGATTTAAATCAAAGGGATTATATGCTTAACAAGAAAATAAAGAGCCGCGTAGAATGAAATGTTTGAGGTATCCGAGAATATGATAATATTTATTTTTTAAAATATTTTTTATTTAAAAATATATTAAAATAATATTTTTTATTTTGTTAAAAATTATTTTTAATATTAATACATTAAAATGATTTAAAAACATGAAAAAAATAATTTAAAACAAAAAATAACTTTTTTTTAAAATCTCTTGTGAAAGTCAAAAACAAACTCTCTTGTAGCAAGCAACATTGATACAACAAAAACGAAAAACATGAAATGAATAACTACGTGAAGAAGAAAAAACAGGATCATGTGCTGATGGGAGAATAGATGCATCCATTTTGCCTTGAACGAAGAAGAATCTGAAATAATCAATGCAATCACTTGTATGTATCTTACTTATGGTACTATTTTATAGCCTCCTTAATGATCCAGCTTTAGATGATTTAGTGATGAATTTGACTGCTGTTTTGACCTTCTCGTTGTCCTAAACGTGCTTAATGCCCATGTCCTGTTCTCAATGAACCTTAAAACTAAGTCCTATATTTAAATCTAAGCAAATCCATATATCTCTCGTAAAACAAGAACACATCACATGCAAATGAGCTTGCATACTGGCTTCGGAGAGTTCTATTCTTCTCGGGGCAATTAAAGCAAGCATGTTTCTGTGTGCATGTGTGCAACATTGTAAGCTTCTACTGAACAACAACAGCCCTTGGATCTCATTCCTCTTCTCATGCATAGATCATTTCCCTTACATTTTTGTCTAAGTCAAGTACATGGGCAGTAACTCACATGTATGGACTTGCTACATACTAAATTTACCACCCTCTTCAATCATGAGCCATTCGGACTTCACTTGGGGAGACCGAGATGCAAAATCCTGAATTACATCAGTATTGTATACAGCTGCCTGGGTTTCCATATATTTACCAAAGAAAGGTAGGTCAGATAATATCTCCCCTATCTATGTACTCCTAGAATAAATAACTTGAAGACTTAAGTGCAACTCACTCCAACTCTGTCTTCTTGTCCGAAACACCAATCTTGCTTCCTTGAGGGAGAAGGGAGTGCGAGAACAGAAAAACTAGAAAAATGCCACTGGCTCCTAGGAGAAGTAAATGCGGTCAAAGGGAGGCTAACAAAGGAGCATGGACAGCTGAAGAGGACCAAAAACTGGCCCGAGTCATTGAAATTCATGGTCCAAAGAGGTGGAGATCAATTGCTGCCAAAGCAGGTATTTTGAATGAGTGAATGTCTATAATACCAGTGAAAATACACGCAAACTTTTAGCCCAATTGTTTCATTAGAACTCGTCAACTATTTTGGATTTGATCGTACTGTGTACTGCAGATCTGAATAGATGTGGCAAGAGCTGCAGGTTGAGATGGATGAATCATCTTAGACCAAATATTAAGAGAGGCAACATATCAGACCAAGAAGAGGACTTGATACTCAGGCTTCATAAGCTCCTTGGTAACAGGCAAGCTTATCACAATTTTCCTTCTCTCACTTTCCTTCTCTCTCATTATGTTTCAATGAAGGAAATACATGTTGGGCGAAGTGTTTTGACTTTGATGAATTTATTCCTCATTTAGATGGTCTTTGATAGCTGGAAGACTGCCTGGAAGGACTGATAATGAAATCAAGAACTACTGGAATTCTCATTTGAGCAAAAAGATAAAGCAAAAAGAGGAGAAACCGGTAATAATCTCAACATCGAAACAACCTGAGCCAGAGAAAACCAATGCACTGGGTATGGATAATATTGCCAAGGGAAGGGAGGAGGGTACTTCTAAGAGACTTGTGGACTCAAAATCTAGCTTTGCTGGGGATGACTTCTTTGATTTCTCCAATGAGGACCCTGTGAATTTGGAATGGATGAGTAAATTCCTTGAGCTGGAAGAGTCTTTGTATGAATTTCCATGATATTGTATGTTGCCTTTCGAAGTAGTAGTTCATGCATTCGTATTTTTGTGATGCTAGCTATTGCAAGTTAAGGAGGTCTTCGATAATTTAAGGAAAACCCCACGGTTTTGCCTTTTGTTTTCTTCTATTTGTCGATGCCAGTGTTGTTAGCAGTCAATAGATGTGAAGGATTTTCCATGGATTTACAAACTTCTATATTTCGTCCAGCAGTATGATTGTGTAGTTTGAATCTCTAGCATTTGCATGGATAGTGATTAGTACTTAAAAGTGTATTTTTATCATGGTTTTATATCATCATTTTGCACTTGAAATATCAATAACTCCTTAACTAAAGCATGTTTTATAATAATATATCTAATAATA